CTGCTGCTGCTGCTGCTGCTAATGACAATGATGATTATAGGGTGGTGGTGAGGGGGAGTAATGGAGAAAATGGTAATAGTGTTTATGACAGGGATAAGCGTGATGATGAAGGTGGGATGCCATGGTTGCGGTGGGGATAATGGTAAAGAGGGAGGATAATACTGAAGATAGTGGTGGTGGTAATGATGGCGGTAGTGGTGATGTTTATAATGGTGGTGGTGGTGGTGGTGGTGGTGGTGGTTGGGGGGAGAACTGGGGGTAGGGGTGACAGTGGTGATGCTGATAATGGTATTGGTGGTGGTGGTGGTAGTGTGGCGTTGATAATGGCAGCGACGGTGGCGGAGGTTTGGGGAGGGGAGGGGGTGAGGTTGATGGTGATGATGATGGTGGTGGTGGTAGCCGTGTCGGGATGGGAAGGATAGTGGTTGTGTTTGTGGTATTGTGGTGGCAGTAATGAGGGTGATTGTGGTGGTGAAGGAACCGGAAAAAGAAAAAAGAAATTCAGGGTTTCTGTTAAATCAGTGCTCACGCTAATACATGGCTTAAGTCTGACATGGACAATTTGTGTTTTGTGACACACACAAAAGGCCATACTTGTAGAACACAGCTGGTGCCAATTTGGTAGTCATTTGAGGCACTGTCAAGCACAGTAAAAAATGTGTAGTAACAACCTCCCCACCCCTCCCCCTCCAAAGAAGAAACAAAACCAAACCCCTCAAGGTTGCGTCAAACCTGCACAGCATCACTGGTTGCGATGCGTCAATTAGGGGAGCACGCCTTCGTCTTCTAACCCTTTTCATCTTCCTCCCTCTGCCTCATTCTCTCTATTCCTCTCTTTTAGCTTCGTTTCTTCCGTCTCTCCCTATTTCACCCTTCTTTTTTACCATCCCTTTTCTCTTTCCTTTCTCACTCATCCAGCTTTCCGTCTTTCTCTCAATGTACTTTTTCTGTCTGTCTGTCTTGCTTTCTTTCTCCGTGTATATATGTATATATATATAATAGATATATAATATATGTTACAGTAAGAATGCGTACCTAGTGAATACGCGTAATCACTGAATATTTTAGTGAATACACGTAATCCCATTTTCACTCGGGGGTTTCACGTAATCACTGAAATTTCTAGTGATTACGCGAAGTCTCTAAAATTAGACCTATCTTTTTACGTGTTTTTACTACTGAGCATTCAGTGAATTCACGTAATAGCCCCGCCACTGTACAGGGATTGCGCGTTTTCACTGAAACATCCAGTGATTACGCGTATTAACTAGAATGATCTACGTGTTCTTACTGTAACATAGATATGTCAGCTGGCAAACAAGGAGACACCGTTTGTGTGCCAGTTCCACTTGTTGATCGATGGAGAGGCGATGCTAGAAATATCCTAGGTGTCATAATTGACAGACAAGAAGATATCCGTAAAAGCTGGTTTGTGTTCCAGAAATCAGTTCGATCTGTGCTCTGAGCATCTTCTGAACACTGACGACATAAACACCGAAAAAATAGTTTCACTGCGTTCGGCGTTGATTTTTCAATCCTCTTCAGGTGGACAAGGCTTCTCAAGATGCAACTGTACGGGTGCCAAAAAGGATAGTTCGAGGCGATGTAAATGCCGTAAAGCAAGTCTTAGTTGTAACTCACACCGTCAGAGCAGCTTCAATTGTTGTAACAAGTGACGACGTCGATGGATTTTAGTCTTAAGTATTTAACTGAAAACTGAAACAACAACAACAACAACAACAACAACAACAACAACAATGGTTGTGTGTGTGTGTGTGTGTGTGTGTGTGTGTGTGTGTGTT